ATGCATACAGATAGATACACACACACACACACACACACACACACACACACACACATGCACACGCACACACACATGCGCAAACCCACATACGCATAAAAAAAAAAGAGACTTTTTTGGAAAGAAAAAGTTTTAGCAATAACGGAGCGAGAATAAGAGAGGGTAATATTGGGGCTGGAGAGATGGCTCAGTGGTTAAGAGCACTGTCCTTCCAAACAACCCGGGTTCAAGACCCAGCACCCACATGACAGCTCACAACTGACTGTAATGCCAATTCCAAGGGATCTGACACCTTCACACAAATGCACATAAAGTTAAATAAATATCCTGCACAGATGTAGCCCATGACAGTTCAGTGTCCAAGTGGCTTCCATAGTAAAGGGAACAGGGACTGTCTCTGACATGAACTGATTGGCCTACTCTTCGATCACTTCACCCTGAGGGGGCGGGGGCAGCCTTACCAGGCCACAGAGGATGACAATGCAGCCACTCCTGATGAGACCTAACAGACTAGGATCAGAAGGAAGGTGGGGAGGACCTCCCCTATCAGTGGACTTGGGGAGGGGCATGTATGGAGAAGGGGGAGGAAGGGAAGAATTGGGAGGGAGGTGGGAAAAAACTAGAGGGGGGATACAAAGTAAATAAAGTGTACTTAATAAAAAAATTAAAAAAAAAAAAACAACTAAGGAAATAGAAGCAGTCATCAACAGTCTCCCTTCTAAAAAAAGCCCTGGGCCAGATGGTTTCAGTGCAGAATTCTACCAGACCTTTAAAGGAATGCTAATTCCAATTCTCTTCAAACTATTCCACAAAATAGAAGCAGAAGGAACTTTACCAAACTCATTCTATGAAGCTACAGTCACCTTGATACCTAAACCACAAAAAGACCCAACAAAAAAAGAGAACTTCCTCATCTAGAAAGACAAATGAGATGGACATGCAAAGTAGGAGAAAACAAGAAACAGGATAGGAGCCTACCACAGAGGGCCTCTGAAAGACTCTACCTAGCAGTGTATCAAAGCAGATACTAAGAGTCATAACCAAACCTCTGGGAGAGTGCAGGGAATTATATGAAAGAAGGGGGAGTTAGTATGACCTGGAGAGGATAAAATATGTCAGGGCACGGCGGTCCTCTATGAGACTGTTTCTCCAACCAAGGACCATGTATAGATATAACCTAGAACCCCTGCTTGGATGTAGCCTGTGGTAGCTCAGTATCCAATTGGTTTTCCCTAGTAAGGGAAACAGGAACTATTTCTGACATGAACTCAAGGACTGGCTCCTTTACCTCTTCCTGCCCCCAAGGGAGGAACAGCCTTGCTAGGTCTCAGAGTACATTGCAGCCAGTCCTGAAGAGACCTGATAAGCTAGGGTCAGATGGAAGGGGAGGAGGACCTCCCCTAGCAGTGGACTTGGAAAGGGACAGGGAGGAGATGAGGGAGGGAGAGTGGTATTGAGAGCGAAAGAGGGAGGGGGCTATGGCTGGGACACAATGTAAATATCTTGTGATTAATATTAAAAAAAATAAGAATTAAAAAATAAAATGTAATTAATGTAAAAAAATAAAAATTTAACAAAAATGAAAAAAGAGGGTAATATTTGATGTGCAGGTTCAAAATACATTACATGAATCAGATTATTAATTACTAATTGAAACCTCAATAAATGATGGATTTAAAATAAAATTTTTGATAATGCAATCTGATATTATCCAGTTAGAAAAAAATTAAGGAGAAAGTGAAGGATAAACTTAAAAAAACAATAAACCCTTTTTACTGTTAAACAGAAAATGTATTCATATGAAAAACATACAAGTGATGAATCTGAAAATCATATAATCACATATGATTAATAACTCCAGATATAAATAGTAACATTTTTGTGTATTTCCTTTGAAGATTTTTCCTTTACATATTTATACATAATTTATACCACACTGCATATATACAAGTTGTGAGTTTTTATAATGGTCTCTATATGCTGCAAAAAGGAGCATCTTTGATAAAGGGTGAGAATTGATAAAGGGTTGAAAGTTACACTAATCTATGAGTGTTATGATAACTCTTTAGAATGTAATTAGGAAAAATGGTTTAGGAAAGTGACAGTGTCTCCCATAGGGGTATAACCTTACCAGCTATAAAATAGTTGGGTCGGTTTACAGTACTAGGCATGTATTCCCTCCCATTGAGTTGGCCTAGGTGTCATTACTGTACCCTTGGGACATCTTGCTGGTCACTGCCGTGTTATGTAGGCTTTACAGCTGTGTAACAGTGTAGGAGTATTGACTGCTTTTCTCCTTGGCAATTTACATAGCACCTTTTGAAACTATAAGAGATGGTCCTCAGGGTGGAGGCTTCCTGGCCAGTTTTAGCTCAATTCCTCTATATCCTGTGTTCAAAGCATGTGTGGTGTATCCACAACAGGGTCTTAACTTCAAGTTCTAAAAGGCAATCAAGAGCAATGAGTCCAATATTATTTTGGGAAATTCTTAAACTCCGCTGAACAAAAAATGGCCATGAGGTTTCCCATGACTGAAGCTGGGGCTTTTGGAAGCTAGTCTATTTCTCACTAGGAGGATATAATCTCCCTAAGAAGCAAAATTGTAGCCATCCATTCATCTGTCTATCCAACTATCTATCCAAACACCCACTATTCACCCACCCACTATGTATCCATGTATCTATCTATCTCACACATGTATTATGTAAATATGTACATATACAAACATATATAATGTATACCTGTTACGTAAACAAAAAACTGGGCTTTATAAAAATGTAAAATTCATTATTCCAGACATTATTGGAGAGGGAACAGACTAGGTAAAACTGGAGAAAACAGAGTTGATCTGGAGCCACTATGTATTTAAGTGGTTCAATTACTTAACCCCCAAGCTCTTTATTATCCTATGAGCAAATTCTCACATGTGCAAAATGACTTTGTGCAAACCTTGCCCCCCAAATTATCCCTGATTGGATAATAAAAATTGCTGATAACCTGCAGATAGACAGAGAGCGAAGTAGAAGTTAGGACTTCCTGGGTCGGGGGTGGAAAAAGGAATTCTGGGAAGAAAGAGGAAAGTTTTTTGTTTATTTGTTTTTCACCAGGGGGCATGAGCAGAGACTGAAGGATGTGACTACACACCTGGAATGCATAGCTAACCACGTGACTGGGTGGGGCTAAGTTTTCTGGTTAAATTATATAAGCTAGTTAAGAGTATGCCCAGCTACATCCTAAACTTTGAAATATTAAAAGGTCTTAGTGTGTTTATTTTTTACGGCTGATTGAGTACCAGGGTCCTACTACAAGAAAATATTTTTAAGTTATACATTGCATTAAGGACTACTATACAAACACAAACTCTTGGAGCACAATAAATTTAAAATTTATTTTATCAGTTAAAATAAGCTTTTGAACAAAGGAAACATATAATTGTGTCGTAAGCACTTGAAAAAAAAGCTCAAATCGTTACTCAGTAGGTAAATGTAGATTAAGTCAGATGGAGATATGACTACGCATCACTGTAATGGTTATTATGGACAAGACTGAGAATACAGAGGCAGGCAAAAATGTCCAGAAGCTAAAAGCCTCAAAGGCTGCTTCTAGGGGTAAGCTCATCAAACAAATTGCCTTGAAATACTTACCCAAAGTGAAGATAAACTTCCTTTGGTAAGGAGGTATATCTCTGAACAAAAAACATCTGATATAATGTCTCTGAGTGAGCAGTTAATCTCCTACCCAGGACATAATGGCAACCACATACTTTTCTTCAGAGGATTACTAGTGCCAAATAGTTTTTTTCTTCCACCATGGGTTCTAGAATCATACTTAGTCTTATTTCAGTACCTTGTCTTTCTCTAGAAAGATTGTTATTTATTTTTAATTTTTTATGTGTATGAGTGTTACCTGAATATAGTAAGTACACCACACACTTGAAGTGTTAAACGAGATCAGAAAAAGGTCTCATAGGATCTTCTGGAACTAGAGTTACAACTGTCAGCTACCATGGAGATGCTGGAAACTGAACCCTGCCCTCTGCAAGGGCAGTAAGTTTCTTAACAACTCCTGCTTCACTGAAGGAATAACAATAACACTGATAGACTGGCTAGCCAGGATCTCTGGGAACTGATCTCTGTATAAAGTCCCCTTTCTGTGAATCCCAAAACACAGCCATAGTTACTAAACTGGACGTATTTACCAGCTCCTCTGAATGAGCCTGAGCTTGAGCCACAACTGACTGAATGCCACAAGCTCTTTTCCTGTGTTATTTTTGGTACCTTAGTATGAAATAACCAATAAATTAATCATATTACCTAATCATATTAATAAACAGAGCAGGATGGTTCACATTAGTAATCTCAGTATTAGTGAAGTTGAGGTCAGAGGATCTTTCCCTGGTAGTTAACAGCCTGAGCTACATAGTAAGATCTAGGCCAGCCTGAGCTATGTAACAAGGTCCTATCTCCCAACCTCTCTATCAAAGTCAGAAAAGCTTTTATGGGTGATTAGGGCCAGGAAGAGTGCTTTCTGGTTGGACTGATATATGCTATGTAAGCTTCACACAAAATGACCACCTTGTCCTGTGCCATGTGAGAGTTCAGAAAGAAAGCACTCATCACTTGGGAGGCAGAAGCAGGCAGATCTCTGAGTTTTAGGCCATCCTGGTCTACAGAGTGCATTCCAGGATAGCTAGGGCTACACAGAGAAACCGTGTCTGGAAAAACAAAACAAAACAAAAAAGAAAGCAAACAAAAAACCCAGACCAAACAAACAAACAAACAAACAAACAAAACCCCCAGTCTTGGATACTTTTCTGTTGTAGCACAAAAAAGCAAAGACTATATCTTATGTTCCTTGACTACATAAAATTTCTCAGAAGAATTTGAAAAGAGCCTATGTGGTCATCTGCATACTACTAAAGATAAAGTAAAAATTATCAATGGTAATGGACAATCAGTTACAAACATTTCTGAGGGATCTGCACCCAGAGAAAACCTACTTACCACAATATCCTCAGGAAATGTGTCTCTGCTGAAAGAGCCATCATCAAACATGACCTCATAGAAAGTTTGAGATGTCACATCTATCACTCTGCAGCTGTAGTACCGAGTGTTTCTATGCTTTGTGATGACCGTCTGACCTACAGAGATGACTTTCTCACAAGTTTTTGACTTCTGTGAGATAGAAAAAAGGGAAGAACAAAAATAAAAATTATTTATTTAGGAAGCAATAACTGACCTTATCAAGTTATAGTATTTTAAATTTAGTAATGAGAGCATAATTTCAAATTTAAATAAATTAGTACAAACATAAATCACATACCCTTTAACAGGTATCAAGATTAATGTACTATTGGTTGGTCATTGCTTACTATTATCTAATAACTAGTATCTTATTATTTGTTTTATTCTCTGAACACTTGGTGTGCAATAGGACAGAGATTATGTTTCATGTGTGCATAATTCTGCCTCTGTGGCTAATCTTCAGCAAGCTCTGTAGCATTTAGCCCTACACTTCAATCCCCTATGTTTTTTTTTAAAGTTACTTTAAAGCCATGTATATAATGGTGCTTATCATATGATATTTTGATTTTTTTTTTTTTTAAGAACACTGACATGATACTTTAATCCACCACCTGGATTCAACTTCGTTAAATGATCTCATAATGACTTTGGAGGTTTCCTGTCTACTTCCCTGAAACTTTGTAGGACCCATTCCCCACTTCAGCCTTGTTTATCTGCCACATCATTTTAAACTCATTTAATCTCATTTCTATAAGCCTTCTTTGTTTTTGTTTCATTAATGGTAGTGATAAATTAAAAATATAAACTTTCTTTTGCTTCTTTTTAATATGTATCTGTGTAACATTTTCCCATAACTATATACAGTCCAGAATCCTATATTCTTTCTCAGGATATTACCTCTGAGGATACATGATGTTTGCATTTGTCTCAATGTTACTTTGAATTCTAAATCTAAGTATGAGCCAATTTCCCTAGCTACTTACTATTTTTTTCATACTAATATTCAATCTATATGGACATTTTCTTACTAAGCAAAGATCATGATCCTTATACAACTTTGTTTAGATTTAGCTCCCAAAAAGTCTCACTTATTCTTTATATGGATGGTGGTCTATATGACCAAACTGAGTTCAGGTAGAAAATTAAATTATCATGTCAGTTTTCATCTTCTTGAAGGATTATTGTCTAGAACTGTAATTATATAAAAGAGTATCTCATTCTTAAAAAACAAAACAAAACAAAACAACAACAACAAAAAAACCCTATCATCTACCTATCTACCCTTACCTACACAATATCAACATGGGCTGATTAATTTCTTACCTCCTATTGTATCTAAGTTCTATTGTATTTTATTATTTGTTGCTCAATTGTCCCACATTTGCCCAACATAGCTTTAAATGTATGTATGTATATATTAGCAGTTCTCTGCTACATAGCCTGAGAAGTTTTACATCTCTGCACTCAGCCATTATGGGAGGTTCATTTTGGAGACGTTTTGGAGGGCAATGTTTTTTCAGGACTTCAGGTAGAAGAAAGGGCTGCAGATGTTTTTCACAAGAACTGTGCAAGTCTGAACATGCACAATACTATGTAAGACACTATATAAATGCTATTATTCTATTATAATCCTTATCTATGTTGATACACTGTCAGGAGGGGACCAAAGCAGTAAGTATGCCATAAAGATACACTGCCCGTTAAACACAGTAGCAGACTACACTCACTAAATTTTTTTGGATTTCAAGAGAAATGACTAAGGGAAAGTAAAAGGAAAGTTAATTGAAATTTTCCTACACCTCATCACAACAGTTTAGCGTAGATTATCTGTAGCATAAGTTAATCGATGGCAACAAATCTGGGAAATTGTCCAAGTTTATTTTTGTTGGAGTACATGTGAAAGTGTGTCTCTGTATATTCGATTTTTGATTGCTAAAATGGCAAAGAGTGCCAGCGTTCTAGCTAGACCTTGGTATTATTATTTCTATGGCCCATTATGGTCTCACATATTGTAAACATTCCTCCTTCCTCACTTGCCTATTGGATATAATAAAGAGCTGATGGCCAATATATAGGGAGGAAGTGAAAGGTATAACTTCCAGGAGATAGAGGATCTCTAGGATAGGCATTGGTGGATGATTCACCAGTGGACACAGAGATGAAAGGACAAAAACAGGAGCAGAAAGGCAAAGCTAGCCACATCGCAGGACATAGTGCCTGGATTAGTTGGGGTAAGGTAGACGGTTGGGAATCTGCCCAGCTAAAATGCCTAAGCTTTAAATATTAAAAAGCCTCTGTGTCATTATTTGTACCACTGATGGTTCTCAAAGTCCTGCTATACATTTTTAATTATGTAAACTATACATCTGCTAGTCTTCTAGGTGTTAACTTGGACAACAAAAACAACAATCCACTGAGGAAAATCACAGAGTGGAAAAGGATCTTTGCTAAATATACATCTGACTAAAGATTAATACCCAGAATATATAAGAACTCAAAAAACCAAAAAGCAACATCCACAAATGATTCAATTTAAGAAAATATGCTATAGATCTAAACAGAGATCTCAACCGAAGAAATAAAAATGGCTAAGAAATATTTTTAAGTGTTTAACATTCTTAACAATTAGGGACATAAAACAACTTTATGCTTTCATTAACAACTATGAACAATCACAGAGAGAATGTGAGGAAAAGGAAATTCTCATTCACCATTAGTGAAAATGCACACTAGTACAACCACTTTGGAGATCAGTGTGAAGAATGTTCAAAAGCTAAAAATAAATCTATCATATGACCCAGCAATACCGCTCCTTGACTCAAAGGACTTGATGCCCTCTCCATACCACAGATATTTGCTTAGCCAAGTTTACTGCTGACCTATTAACAATAGTTAGGAAATGGAAACAACTTACATGACCTTCAACTGATAAATAAGGAATGGGTAGGAAATAATACACAAAGAAGTATTATTTAGTATTATTAAAAAAAAAAACTGAAGTCATGAAATGTTCAGATAAATGGATGAACCTAAAATTATTGAGTAGGGTAGCCTATACCCAGTAAGACAAACACCAAATTTTCTCTTTCATCGCTTCCTAGATCCACATACTCAGATGAGAATATAAACTAGAGTAACCACAGAAATCAGCAAAGTAAAAGGGGAACCATGGTAGTGTGGAGACTTGAGAGGAAAATAGCTGAATATAGATGATATGGAGGGTGGATTTAATGAGAAACGGAAATAACACTAAGGATATTTTTTAAAGCCTTAAGAAATCATATTATTTTATATTTACCAAAATTAAACAATGCATGTAATATAAATATATATCATCTTAAATGAAGTTATCCCACTTGGGCTCACAGTTTTCCCCTATAAGAGTTATCTAACAAAACCTGCCAGTATCAGACATGAAGCACCAAAGTAATACTAAATAGACTCAGTGTATTGTACATGTGTGCGTACCCACACATACACACATACACATACACCCACACATACACCCACACATACATACACAAGTAGTAAAGAAATAAAAGTTATCTATTTGAGAGGGAGGGGTTAGAAGGAAGTTGGAATGGTTGGAAGGAGGAAGGAAAGCAAGGAAAATGATGTAATTATATTTTAACTGAAATTAAAAAAACATTAAAGAATCATTAAATTTTTATTACTTGAGTATACTGAATTTCCTATTAGTAATTGTAAACCTTGGATCTACTGGACAATTTCTAAAGATTCTGTAAAAGGGCACTGCAATAATTAAGAGCATACATGAATACTTATTTTGCTTAACTGTGACAATGAACCTTATAACCTACTTGTTTTTATCATCAGCTTTGTGTGTGTGTGTGTGTGTGTGTGTGTGTGTGTGTGTGTGTGTGTGT